TTCAGACAAATATTGCAGAAGAATTTCTTATGTCCTCTACGAGATAGTTGGGAAGATAACAACGCTGACATATTTTTAATCCATGCAAAATGATAGTAACAGTTATTGGTATTGAGGACTTTATTCCTTTGATCAGAAACCAACACCAATAAATTGATAGTTTTTCTATTATCAACTTTACCACTTAACATAAAAGGAAATATATTTCTCTTAACTATGCAATATAAGTTAATGGAGATATCATTCATGTTCTCAAATTTTTTAATATCTGTTAGTTTAATGGGGAATTTGATAGATCCACGATTTAATACTTGGTCAAAATGAGGATAACTACTTACTCTATCGGCATTTTTATTAACGGGATGCAATGCTGCGACTATTGACCACAGAAAACAAAACTGATCATTATTCTTTACGTTAATAACTGCTCTCTTAGCGGCTATAAAAGGAGGAACTTTGACGTATGTTGAAAACCCTCCCTTAATGGGTACGTACTGATTAATATTGATTTTCAGATTTACTATATCCGATAAGGCCCACCCAGAGTTCTTTTCGGAGAAATTCTCCAACTTTGTTTGAATTTTATCGAAAACGTTTTCATTGTACCATTCCCTAAGATTAGTACCGATGTCAATCGGAGCATTTTTGGTCTGGAATGTTTTCAAGTCTATAATGCTAGTTTGAGGATGAATAAAATTGCAAGTTAAAATGACGTTTACTTTTAACATGGATCTTGCTAACGCTATCTTAATTTGGCGTAAAAAACTATCGTACGCATGATTTAGAAAAATTAGGGGATCCTTATAACCAAAATTAACAATAACACCAGTAATTAAACGGCCATTGAAGCAGGAGTCTAATGTGTACCACGCTAGTTTACGTGATCGACTTTTATTGATGACATCGATCCCACAACCCCTTTTTTTCGTGGAAAAATTCTTTAATCGCTCTTGTAACGTAGCCAAATAGCTTTTCAAGAGCGCCAAATTAGATTCAAGTCTCGAAGAATTTTCATTCGGATTATTGAAATGAACTTGATTGACAATAGCTCTTTGCAATATTCGAATGTTGGTTTTCGCGATTGAAATGTGTTTAACAATTTCAGATTTCTTTTTTAAGAGATTTGCCGAATGTCGGGTTAGGTTAACGATCTCACTGCTTATACTCGAAACAGATTCCATACTTACTATGCTGATCAAAGGGTTTTAATTATCCAAGATTTTAATCTGTGTAAATCCTAGAAATGTTGCACTCATAAGTTATCCGACACTAGTGCGATTAGCTGACCACGATCCTAGATGTCACAACTGAGATACTGCTCGAATGATACTGTATACGTAAGTAAACCTGAGAACAGGAACAAATTCTCTTTATAAGGTGTATTGCAAATGTTATTGCAGGTGAATGCTCCACTTTTTCTGTTACTTAGAATTTTCTTATCGGCAGGTGTGCGCTTTGACCGCCAACCTGCCTGAGAAAAAGTCTACGTTCCCACGAGAGTTTATGATAACGTTAACATTTTCTCGTAAGTGTAAACCTGAGAACAGAAACGGATTCCCTTTCATAAAAAGATGGAAAGGTTACTTCAGGTGCATGCCCTACTGTTACTTAGAATTTTCTCATCGGCAGATGTGGACTTTGACTGTCAACCCGTCTGAGCAAAGTTTACGTTCCCGCGGGAGAGTTTATGCTAACGTTAACAAAATATTCTCGGTATATACCCGTACATGTCTTACATGAATCAGTTTAGAGTTCGATGCAAATCGCTATCATGTCGGCGGCAAAACGTGTAAAATTATCTACGAAAAAGAGTGCACCAAAAGCGAGTGGTAGTTCTTCAACAACGACAGTACCGAAAAATACAAAAACTGCCGAAAAACCTCTTCCGCAAGAAGCTATCATTAATTTAGTGGACGAGGATGGTCCAACTGAGAGGTAAATATGATTTTTGTGCAATTATTTCATGAAGATACTAAAATGAACTTTTATTTTTTAGAATAACAACAACAACGACTCATCTAAGAAACAGCGCGTTTAATACCTTGGATGAGTTGCTGGATCAGTTGGATGGAAACATCCACCACGTGTACGCTCCCCAAAGGTAAAACATTCGCAATACCAAAATAACATGAAATTAATATTTTTTTTCCTTTTAGAGTGGACAACAACATAAAAGGCACCGTCAATAACATGCAGTAAGTTAAAAGCGCACCGAAGTATTTTTTTATACCTTTAACTTATATTTGCAGACATTATCAAACCACCACCAGCCTACAGCCGGCTCAAACAGCACCGCAATCGACAAGTTACCAGTTACAGTAAGTTGCATTGAAGAAGAGTAATTAACCTAACTTTGTCAAAATAACATGAAATTAATATTTTTTTCCTTTTAGAGTGGACAACAACATAAAAGGTACCATCAATAACATGCAGTAAGTTAAAAGCGCACCGAAGAAACTTTTAATACCTTTAACTTATATTTGCAGACATTATCAAACCACCACCAGCCTACAGCCTGCTCAAACAGCACCGCAATCGACAAGTTACCAGTTACAGTAAGTTGCATTAAAGAAGTGTAATTAACCTAACTTTAATATTTATTTCAGTATTCCAGAGGGGACCGCCCGTGTGCTACAACATATTATAATACCACCGCCACCACCACCGGCAGAGCCGCAGTAAGTTGCATTCTCTTAAAAGAAAAACGACTTCTATGAATTTATTTTGCTTTCAGACTACAAGGAGCACAACAACAGACGAGTACCGTCGGTCAATCTCAGTAAGTTATTTTGAAAGTGTAATGAAAAGAAAGTTCTAACATTCCTATTCTCTTTGTTACAGGCATGCACAAAAGGACATGAAGCTTCTGAGGGAGGTGTTCGAACAAAGCTTCTATGAGACGATCTCCCAGCCTCGTTCAGAAACTGGAGAAATAATTCCACCGATCCAACTTCCAACAGCCGTCGTTCCCTCATGGATTGAACCTGCAACACCCCGTGAATTGGCGAAGGCGTCGCTTGCATGGTTGCAACAGAAGGCTCCTGAATACATGCAGCGGTACGAAGACGCGCAAAAGGCAACGAGGAGGCTGGAAGAGGAGCTCGATGCAGCGCGCCTCACCGAACGACGGCTGGGCGAAGAAATGACTTATATGAACAAATTTATTAATTTTTTGAAATAACAAATTGTAAATAATAAATGTAGTTTAGATGGATAATTTTATTTAAAATGGTAAAACGAGCAACCCATAACTTCCCTCCTTGAGTATTAACTATGAGAGTAAATAGTTCCATTTAACGTTAATCGTATAGAAAGAAGCGTAAAGCGTACTTCCACAATCTCTGGACCTGGAGCATAGTAAAACGAGCAACTCATAATTCGTCTGAATATGAGAGTTCGATTTTACCAGTACATAATATCGTAAGTTTATTAGTGATCGCATAGAGAAAGTCTGCTAACTTCCACGATCTTGCATATGTTGAGAATGATAAAACGAGCAACTCAATTCGTTTGGGTATGAGAGTTCGATTTACCAGTTCATAATACGTAGGTGATCGCATAGAAAGAAGTGTAACTTCCACGATCTTTGCATAAATGTGAAGAATGAGAGTAGCTGGGGAACACGGCGGATCTTAATGAGATTGACTTAATACATTCTCTAATAAGGTACCGACCGTATACTTTTAATACACCGCGCTTTTACGGTCGCCCGCGCTAAACATCATTCCCTATAATAGACGAGTATGTTTCAGGGGAACTCGGCGGCTTACAGCGATAGACCGTGGTACATTGTCTCATTAGAAGCCGCTCTCGCATTGTGATATCATTCGCTTTCGCTGTATGGAAAACCACCGCAATAAATCCCGCTGAATTTACTTACGGCATCAGAGCAATTTTTTTTAAGTTTTTAAACAAAATATTGTTTAACATTGTGCTCTACTTAAAGTAGGTACCACTTTTCTGAATAAATGTACAATTAAGTTCGTGTATCTTATCAAAATTTCTTATAATAGGACAAAATATACTTTTACTAGGATTACGTTTTAAAGATGTAACTCGTTAATGAAAATTAAGTACCTACTCTAATATTCCCAATATAAAGGTGAAAAGAAGATTGAGAATACATTCTTATAGGCGGAGATAAAATGTCTATTTTTACATAGTACCTACATATGATAATAAGGTCAAAAAGTGCACAATAACATCTGGAACGATTCGTTTAAATTTGTTAATTCCATTGAGTGTAGGGACGGCTTTTTCCTTCCCCTAAATTACAAAGGGCTTCAAAAATTATCCACCGTGCATTAACCATTATGAGTAACCTTTCCATTAATAAGTACTTTAACCGGAACACATTTACTCCTACTTACTCTCAAACTACTTAATTTTCTTAATATTTACTTGGTAGGTGGGTTTAGATACCTAATGGATTTGGCAAATTAAATTAGATGCATTCAAACAAAATTTATTGGTTGCATGTTTACAAAAATTGTAACAAATTCTTTGTTTAGCGAGTAACTTTTCACAAAACTTATATTCAATTATAGATAGGTAGCTCCTTAGTTTCCATTAATCTCTACAGAAGGTCTTCCAGCCCGAGAACTCCATGAGCGAAATTTCTTCCAACACATCAATCATTTTAAATTTAACTTATTAATTTGTCGTTGGCATTGAAATACTTCAATATCCCACTTTAATTTTTTCAAATTTATGAGTAACTTCTCAAGCCTCTTCTTTTGTGATATATACACTGGCGATACCTTTGCTTTTCTCGCAACTGATTCAGTGGTTTTTGTCATCTTGCTGTCTATCAATTACGTCTAACAACCGACCACTTTATATTCCCCCAAGTAGTTAACCACGCCCTCTTAAGACATCCCCTCCCTCTGGTAAATCGCTGACCTCAAAGTGACTACCAGAGGCTCCATTAAGGTCGTTACCCTTTGAGAGCTCTAGTTTTCAAAATCGCCGCTAGAGGAAGATGACCTTCAGGAGATTTGAAAATCGTCTTATGGGATTTTACATGGAGTTGAGTTAGTATCGGCTATATATGGCTACTCTCGTTGCAAGGAGGTAAGTATCTAAATCAATTTCCATTTTTACGAGAAGAGCGTCGAACGTCTCGATGTTTGTCGAATTGTGATTTAGTTCGTTATTGAGCTGTTCATTGAACTCTCGAATCTTTTTCAATACGTCCGTATCAAGCTCGGATTTCTCATCCAACGGCATCAAAATTCTCGTGCGATCCATTGGTCTGAACGGAGCGTTAAAGCGGCACTTCTTTCGTTCATCTGAAAATGAAAGAAATTAATTACAAAATTTTAGAAAAGCTACAAGTCTTGGGGAAGTCTTTGAGAAGCCATTCGGGAAAACCTTGAGGTAGTCTGTTAATGAGGTTTTGCGGAAGCCTTGGGGAAGTCTTTAACAATGTTTTGGGGAAATCTTGGAATATTCTTTGAAAGAAGTTTTGGAGAAGTCTTGACTTTTAAAAAGTTTTTGATGAAGTGATGTTAATAATAAACGTGACTTACCTCGGTAGCATGTGTGAGAGCACTTATGAAACTGCTTTCCGATTTGACCCTCAACTTCTGAATCGTCGCTGTTCGTTGTAATGATCGAGTCGATGAACTCTATGACGGCCTCCTCGGTCTCCAGATTGTCGACTTCATATTTTGGAGCATTTTCCAGCCAAATCACCATGTGCACATGTGGACTACCTCGATGCTGAAATTCGATACGATGGAAAAAGTACTTAATCTTGTAGTTTCCAAAGGGACCATCGTTGCAATGCGTCCAAGTTCGCTTTAGCTCTCTAAATCGGTGGTCAAAATAGCGCGCACATGTAACTGGATCGTTGCGAATTAGACGTGACACTTCGTCGAAGGATAATTCCATCGCTTGTTCAATCGTGATATCCTCCTTATCGAGGGTATGTTTAAGGATCACGAGCAGTTCCGGCCACTTGGTCTCTGCAGCGGTGAGGGTGATGAAAAGTGTGAAGATGCCGAGTTGTCGAACCATTGCTAGAACCTTCTTCTTTTTGTCCTCCCAATATGGCGGTGAACCAACGATATTCGCCATAAACCGGTAAGCAGTATCCTTTCTCACAGCGTTGTCAATGAATTGTTTGTTGAGAACCTGGCCAGCACATACGGTTCCAGTTTGAGCGCTCTTCCGTAGTGCAATGCTTATTGAATTTTGTAGTTGGCGAATCGTCTCCACTTTATGCAGGTAGAGTAAATAAGCTGGCTTGCAGGCTCGTCTGTCGTATCTCAAGATCTCATGATTGGATTTGTCGCTTTCCGAGATCTTGATGCCCTTAGGAGTCTCTGGGCACATATGACCGCCCCAAATCGATGGCCAACTCATCTCCTTGCAGTGAGGATCCAGAAACATCGGGATTGGCGTCTGTCCTTCGCCTGGAGCAAATGCGACGCCAACAGCACTATCCAGCAATGTCTCCTCTTCAATATATCCTTCGTTTTGTTCGGCAGCTTCGGGGTCCGGTTCTGGCGCTTCCTCCTGATCGAAATCCATATTTTCTACTGCCGCGAGAGGGTTTTCAACCTCTATCAGCTGAGCGTTGTTGATAGGTGTTGGCGGGCGAGGAATGAGTTGTGGAAGAGATGCCGGCGGTGTGAGATGTGAGACAGGTGCCTGAGGTGTAAGCTGCGAGGCAGATACTTGAGGTGTCCTGTGTGGTGCCTGTATGTTCTCTTGTGCCTGTTGTTTCCGCCAGTTGCGATCGAGTGTGATGCCCGCATTCACATACAACGGTGCCTTTGAAATTAATTCCGCTGCTTCCCAAACAATCCCTGGCCTTATACGCTCCTTCATGTAATGTCCCTTGTACTTCATCGCTCTCATTAATGAAACTTCGATGACTCCGCTATCATCGGGAGCCGTTGGAATGGCCTTGATCGTGCGTCTTATATCGACTGGTACGTTAACGACACCACTCTTGATTCCATATTGACGATCGCATCCGAGAGCCTGAATTTTCATAAATGGAATGCGAAGGGCGATGCATCGTTCTTCGAGTGGTTGCAGGTTCTTGATCAAATCAGGAATGTCCGGGAATTTCAAGTTTGATTTGTTCGCATTGAATCGTGGGAATTTTTTTGGAGGAGATTCTTCGCCGGCCTGCAGCTGTTTGCGACTTTTAGTGAAATACGAGTTACACGTTGAGCAAAAGAAGAATTCATCATCGTTTGTGTGATCAGCTATTATAACTAGTTGAGTGATGAGCTCATTGTTCCATCCTGCTTCATTCATATGTTTTCGTGTTCGTCTGTGAATCTGTCGGCTGAAGAAAATCCGGTCGCAACTGAAGCATCGATGGCAAGGTCCGTCTTTGATGTTTTCTTCATAAGATGCCATAGCGTCGTCCCATGAGAGGATTTTATTGGTTCGCTTCTTGACTGAATTTGCTGCATTTTCTCGGGCGTGGACTTCAGGATCAAGTCGGGCAGAACGACGACGCTTGGTGTTGGCTGCCTGCTCTTTGTCGTGGACTTCAGGATTAAGTCGGACACAACGACGACGGTTGGTGTTGGCTGTCTGCTCTTTATCGTGGACTTCAGGATTAAGTCGGACACAACGACGACGGTTGGTGTTGGCTGTCTGCTCTTTATCGTGGACTTCAGGATTAAGTCGGACACAACGACGACGGTTGGTGTTGGCTGCCTGCTCTTTATCGTGGACTTCAGGATCAAGTCGGACACAACGACGACGCTTTGGTGTTGACTGCCTGCTCTTTGTCGTGAACTTCAGGATCAAGTCGGGCAGAACGACGACGGTTGGTGTTGGCTGCCTGCTCTTTATCGTGGACTTCAGGATTAAGTCGGACACAACGACGACGGTTGGTGTTGGCTGCTGCTCTTTATCGTGGACTTCAGGATTAAGTCGGACACAACGACGACGGTTGGTGTTGGCTGTCTGCTCTTTATCGTGGACTTCAGGATTAAGTCGGACACAACGACGACGGTTGGTGTTGGCTGCCTGCTCTTTATCGTGGACTTCAGGATCAAGTCGGACACAACGACGACGATTGGTGTTGGCTGCCTGCTCTTTATCGTGGACTTCAGGATCAAGTCGGACAGAACGACGACGAATGGTGTTGGCTGCCTGCTCTTTATCGTGGACTTCAGGATCAAGTCGGACAGAACGACGGCGCTTGGTGTTGGCTGCCTGCTCTTTGTCGTGGACTTCAGGATTAAGTCGGACACAACGACGACGCTTGGTGTTGACTGCCTGCTCTTTGTCGTGAACTTCAGGATCAAGTCGGACACAACGACGACGGTTGGTGTTGGCTGCCTGCTCTTTATCGTGGACTTCAGGATTAAGTCGGACACAACGCCGACGGTTGGTGTTGGCTGCCTGCTCTTTATCGTGGACTTCAGGATCAAATCGGACACAACGACGACGATTGGTGTTGGCTGCCTGCTCTTTATCGTGGACTTTAGGATCAAGTCGGACAGAACGACGGCGCTTGGTGTTGGCTGTCTGCTCTTTGTCGTGGACTTCAGGATCAAGTCGGACAGAACGACGACGGTTGGTGTTGGCTGCCTGCTCTTGGGCACGTACCTCAGAATCCGATCGTCGAGAATGAACATAGGCTCGCTTTTTCTTCGCCTCCTTTCTACCTGTCATTGTTTTCTTTCGTTTTCTAGCCATTTTGCACTTAAACTGAAAAAAATATTCAGAACGGAATGAGCTCCTGCGAAGAACAACGTGGCTTTATATGGCGTTCTCCACGTATTCTCTTTTCATATATAAACGTTTTGTGTAAATAAAATTCTATAAAAATATTTATGAAAACCACATCGCATGTCTCGGAAAGTAAGTATACGGCGCATGTGGCGATGTGGACGGAAATCCGAATGAATGTTGGGGAAGTATTGAAATGAGATCAAATACTGTAAACTGCAAAGTCAGTCTTAACATCATAATTGCCAATTGATACACCTATATAATATTAATAAAAAAAACACGTGACCCTCGAAAGCGCAATTTTCTATATGCACGGACAGAAGGAAAATTTATCGAAAAGGGCATACGGGGTGGTGCCTAGTGCGACGCAGCATAGAAATTTCAATGGTAATTTCTTTATACTCAATTACTACTATTTTAGAGCACAAGTCAAAATACGTTTTTTTTCAGAGAAAAAAATACTGCATCTATTCATACTATTACTCATAATTTTCCGTTTTTCAAAACCGTAGAAATCGACAAAATAAAAAGGTTCATTTTACAATAAATCAGATATACCTTGGAATTACCTAAAAAAAACAGCGATAACTTTTCATTATTTGCCTTTGACGTATATTAAATTTATACTTGTTTATAAATTAGATAAAGAACTGCAAGTGCAATAACGTTCAAAATGTGCGCCAAAACCATCAGGAAAACGACAATACATTCAACGTTTTAGCTGCAGTAGCGGAAAATCCGAATATAAGTTTAAGAACAATTCTTCATCAAATCAGTTTATTTTTCTTCGATTATGTACTCTGGTTCCGGAAAATGATACACAAATAGTATCTGATGCAGATGCAGCATTACATTCTTTAAAGAAAATTACCCCATAAACGTTTTTTCTTGCGTCGGTTAGTTGAAATAAATATGAAAATCATTCGACGTAAAACAACGATAACTTAGATGCGATGCGCTTGTATTTTGTTAAAAGATTCCAAAGCATCACTGATTTTTATAAAATGTAATTTTTTATTTTGTGGATTTCTACGGTTTTGAAAAATGAAAAATTATAAGTAATCGTATGAATAGATGCAGTATTTTTTTCTCTAAAAAAAACGTATTTAGACTTTTGCTCTAAAATAATTAGGGGAGCTAGTAGGTAATTGGTTATAAAGAAATTACCAATTGAAATCCCTATGCTGCGTCCAGCGAGGCACCACCCGGTATAGGTCTTACAGAAAAAGGTTGATTAATTGTATTTATTAGCCATTATCCATTAGTTTTAGGAATTCTAAGAGACAGTGGCTTATGAAAGCTGTCGTAACTTACATAAACGTGGTAGACGGCCAAAAATTGCATCAATCGTGGTACCTGCGTCTGTAGTTCCGATTGAATGAGAAGGCATTTTCAGTTTCAATGCGGAAGCGATAAAACTTGATTTCCTTTTGTTTTTCTCAAATCATTGAAATCACCGCACACAATTACGTCGTCGTCGGTCAACAGGTCCGTCGGCGATCTTTTTTTGTGAATACAAAGACATTTCAAGGTTTTTTTTTAAATAGGTAAGGTTATAAATCGCCGGTAGTTATCCAAATTTAGTCATCATTACGATTTGCATGACGATTGGAAAATAGAAATTATTGTGTTAAAATAAGAAGTAGATCCGATTCATTTCAAACATTTATGATTGGGAAACTAAGAAAGAAATAAAAATAATCAACTGGCGAAATTACGGGGCGGTGTACCTCCAACTAAAAAGCACTGTAAAACTCGGTTCCGAAAGGGGAAACCCTACAACTGCATAATCCCTACACAATAGTATATAAGAAGCACAACGTGCCGAAAATAGCTGTGCAGAATTGTAAACAAGTGATTTAAATATGAATGGGCCGGGAATGTTGATGTGTTTTGCAAAAATTGAATGTACCTACCCATATTAGGTATACTAATCAAACCACAATTAATATGAAAGTAAAACGGCATTTAATTTTCATAAACTAACCAACTATCTTATGCTAAGTGGGTTACTTTTCTGCTACCAGACTTGCGATACTATTCGTTAGAAGCATGAATGTAACCAGAAAGAAGGCACGTTATTATTTAGCGGGCGACCAGTACACAAGGGTGGTGTAAGCTGTCATAAATATTTCAGTTCTGTTTATTTTCTTTATTGCGATGGGCAGACAAAACCTTTAAATACCGCGCATTCAAATTTTAGTTTCAATGTATTTCGAAAACTTCAACAGCGACATATCATCAATTTTCAGGCTTTGTATCTTTTTAAAGTATACGTATAGAAATGGAACAGTTAGCGTTCCAAAAAGTTGTAAGAAAACATCAAATTGATAACGTTGGAATTTTATTTGTGAAACATCCTGTACTATGTTTTGTAAAATCCCCTCGTTAGATGTCGCCTGTTGTCGTCCCCATCCTTTATTTGCAATCCCTTCTACATCTCCCACCTTGTTGTGTGTCCTATAAAAGGTGTTTGTAAAGTACCAGAGAGCACTTCCGATTAATTCCGTTCCATGTTCAAATCATTCCCCGAACCAGAACCCGACCCGATTCCTGCCCGTTTCGAAAACCTGAGATCCGTTTTAAGTTTATTTTATTTTCCGTTTTAATTCCACCAGAGCTTTTCGTTTTAGTTTCATTATTTTCCTAGACCTATTAATTTGATAATTACTTTTAGTTTTGCCGTTTTACTCACCTGTTCCCGGGAAGATAATCCTGGTAGGGTAAATCCCTGCGGGCTTATAAAACCGGACACAGAACTAGTTCTTTGTATTCTTGCCTTCGGTCGGTCGACCGGACTGGAATCCAAAGAGCTTCCCTTCCGTGGTTGCCGTCTGATTCCACCGACTTTGAGTAGAGGTTGTTGGAACCGGGTGGAAGTTCCTCTGTAAGGGCCGTCGCCAGGTAAATCCTTGCCGACCTTATTCGAGAGCTATTACCTCCTGTTCAAGTCATCTCAGGTCGGGTTATTGCTTTGCTGAAAAGCACCTGAAATATAACTGGTGGAGAAAACTTCCTATACTTCCTTTACCTGATATCTCCTCGAGCCTTGATAAGCATCCGGGTTTAGGTGGTAATAACTCTTTATCATTACAGCGAACTAGTAGCACTTGTCACATCCACCGCACGTTTCCAGTTGGGGAAAAGAAAACGCCGTACCAGACCCCAAGGTCAACCGGTGATTTGACAGACGGTGGAGGTGTCTCCGTACCCAACATCGGGATTTGAATATTTGAATTTTTTATTTATTTTATTTTATTAATTAAACAATTTCAATCAATATGAATTTCGATCTCTGGCCAGCCGGCTGGAGCTACCTGAAGGCAGAACCCCGTTCTGTTTACAAAGTAATAGTGAACAAATTTAACTGTTTAATTAATGTGTATGGAGAGGGGAACGAAATTTCAAAAATGCAATTACGAGCACAAATGATAAAAATGGTGGACAAATGGATCACTTCGGAGGAATTCAAAGGTATAGTTAGCTTACTTATTCACTGGCATGATCCGTTAAACATTTACAGAATTTACACACTAGGTACTAGGTATATATCTTAAATTTTCAGATTCTATAGAAGAAACAGCGAATGTCCTCGAACGGGCGGCTGATCAAATGAGAAAAAAAATCCGAATGCGGAATATAAGTGGCCAATCCAGTTCGAACGAAAACAGCATGGTAAACGCATCAGCAACAAACTTGCTGGACGAAGATGACGACTTGAACAAGAGCAGCGAATTGGATGAACTGTTAAATGAAATTGACAATAAACGCAAAAGGGATTCTAAATCGGACGAGGAAATATTATAAGTATCTTTATTTACCTGTTTGAAATAGTATACCTTTATATCTGTATTTAACTGCATTTAGTTCATAATTTATAATCGTTTATTTGTTTAAATCGTACTGTACAGCTAGTGGGTAGATAATCTAATAAAAGTATATAAAGTAGCATGCTTATTGTTTGCTATTCACATTTGATAAAATTACATAACGGCACATTAACTTACCTGGCTAACAGCGTGAATGTTTCGAAACAAACTAGTGATGAACACGTGCATTGTGCAGACAACGAACGACACTTCGCAAATGCTTTCCCTAACCCCTGTGTACGTTATTGAAATGAAATAACAGGATCTTCAGGCAAGTGTTGCGAAATCCTTTTTATACTTAACGTAGATAGAAGAAGAGCAAGGTTAAAAGCGTTAATTATAGTTAAATTAAGCAATTTTATGGACCCAAAATATTGAAACGATGCATTGTCATCGAAAGCACACAAAATGTTGAATCTGCATATTGAAGCACGTCCACGTCCAGAGCAAGAGAGGAGTTAAATAAGTAAAATAAAGTTTCAAAGAAATATCTCCATAAATACGAAAGTTGGCATTGCGCAGTCACTGCGCATGCCCACATAATTTTTACCATGTGCGAAATGTTTTATCTTTACTAGAAGCGTCTGTGGTTAAAATTTCAAAGAAATATCTCCATAAATAAGAAATTTGGCATTGCGCAGTATGCCCACACATCACTGCGCATGTCCACACATTATTTTTACTATGCGCGAAATGTTTACCTTTGCTAGAAGCGTCTGTGGTTCAAATTTCAAAGAATTATCCCCATAAATAAGAAAGTTGGCATTGCGCAGTCACTGCGCATGCCCACATAATTTTTACTATGCGCGAAATGTTTATCTTTACTAGAAGGGTCTGTGGTTAAAATTTCAAAGAAATATCCCCATAAATATGAAAGTTGGCATTGCGCAGTTTGCGCAAAATATGGAGTTAAATGAAACTGATCGAAATGGGCAAATATAGACCATAACAGCTATAAATTAGCGAAAACCCGAAGTCTCTAGGTGGCCCAGCGGCCGAGATCTCGATGGAACGGACGGACGGACGGAAACACGAGCACATAAGCTTTACCTCAACTTCGTTGTGTTACGCTAAAAACATGTCATTATAAGTAGACATGTTTCAGGAACTTAAATACAAAATTGCATAACCAAATTCCCACTTGTTACAGATATGAACATGAAATAGGTAAGCATGTTTTCCCTATACTTAACCATTGACATATGACAGGCGAAATTCCAGCCTTAAGTATACATATTTATAAAAACGGGTGGTGAATTTTTACTAAATCCTAAAGTTGTAGCATCTTTTACATTGATGGGGATATAAGCATGACCCAAAACAAAATCAACTCCATCAAAATATTGAACTCCCCTGATCCCATTACTGTAGGATAAATAGTTTATGTTAAAACTTTTTTTGTTTCTATGTTTGGCGATTTAAAATGACGTGTAAAGACAACATGGCAACCTGGTCAGTGGTAAAATTTCCCAGTGACAATTCCGTGGAAGCGGTACCTACGTCGTGGTTGAATGGGAATAGATGTGTATGGCCGTCCTATCCACTAAACAGTCAGAAATTATTGGATGCCGTTGAGAAGCAGTCGAGTCCTGGCTGTGATTGGCAGACGTATGATATAATTCCTTTTAAAAATAATGTTTTTGGTACGTCGTATATGTTCAAATGTTTTTTAGTTACGATATGTAGATAATATGTTTTCAGATGATTTCACTGTAGCAAAAAAGAAGGCTGAAAAAGCTCTTGCTACTTCCGACTTAGAATCAGATTCACAAGCTTTCGAGGAAAAAAACAAAACGAGCACCAAAAGAAAAATTAAATTGAAGAAAGAATTTAGCTTTTCTTCTGTCGAGGAGGAATCACTTGATTTCGTTCCGCCTGAGTTAAATTTCAATGGTAATGTAATTTTAATGTTATCACTTGATTTATGATTACATTTTAGAGCTGCCTTCAAGAAAACCTGATATAAATAATGGTTTTGAGCATAAAGGACACCGTCCATCCAAATCAACTAAAAAGGTCAACATAATCCAAGACATTGAGGTTACTCCATATCGAATTGCAACCACAAGTATGATTATATTAAAATGTTTCATTATGCTACTTATACTTTAATTTTTATAAGGAAACTGTAATAATAATTCTGCTGTAACTTCTACGGAAACGCCGCCTTCTCGAAACACAGGTCGAAACATTTCGAATTCAGATCTGTATGGTATGTAACTGTTATACTATTGTTCAATTTGTTGCCTATTTGCTTTTCTAATAATAGTATTAACGTGTATTGAGCTGGTACCTATTATTTTTTTTAGATCTGCTGACACGGATTTTAAGAAAGCAAGAATTATTACATGTAGTTGTGGCAGACATCAGACAAGGTTTAGATAACATAGAAGCCAGTTTATTGAAAGTCCCAGTAGAGAGTGAAAAGGAAAACTCGATTCTTGCTCAATTTGAATTACCCCTAAATTCTAAGGAAAGTTTAGCGCATTTTGAAGAATTTTTCGTAGCAAATTAGAATGCATTTGAAAAGGCAGTATGTATTAAGATATAGATAATATGTGATTGTAATTTGTTCGATATTCAGGTTCGTGAAGTGTCATTATTGGGCGGAAGACATATGTATGAATTTATTTATCGATGCGGAAAGATGTTAATAACAAATGGTTTTGCTTCCACATACAGTTATTGTGGTAAAAGAAATAAGGAGGCGTTTAAGGAGCTACATTTGAACAAACTAATGATTCGTAAGTATTGTGTACTCCTTTTGTGTTTCATATTACATTTATTTTGTGTTGTGTGTGTAGAAGCTGGATTACGATTTAATCCAAAAACAACGCAGAAGGATGTGGAAATAGAAATTTCCAAATGGCTGCGACGGGCCGCTGAAAGGGCGAAAAATGAAACATAATTGAATACATAAATATTCTGTATTTGCATTTAATAAATATCCATATTCTATTTTTTTGTTTAAATAACGTGCAAAAGTGGGATGTACACCGTATGCAATTTATGGACATCCATAATATGAATATGTATGGACATACATGATACAATCTTACAGGGACGTACACTGTATGTATCAAGTGGACGTAATTAGAATGTCCAACTTGTTGACAAGTGGACTACATATGGACCAAAATATTACCTTATGTGGATGTATGATGTATGCATTATGGCTCTAACATATTCGTCCATTGGCTGTCCATAGTACGAAGTTGTGCTATCTGGGTTATAGGTACTCTGTATTAGCAAAATTAATAAAACTTTGCACATCTGATCTTGATTTACAAGTATATAAAAAATGCTCAACATGATAGAAAAGTAGTTTATTATCTCGTTAAAATTTAGACTTTTTACTATATAACCTATACTACAATCTACCTATTTTGTCTACAGATTCTTTGGACGCGACATTGGTGACATTACTTGAAAAATCGGCGGAGTCGATGAAAAAAAGGAGCGATGAAATTAAAAACAGAATATCGAAGAATGTGCCACTGAATCGATCTTTGTTAGAAGAAAGTATAGAGCGGAATGCAGCGTCGAGTTGGACCGTCTCATGAACGACAGCGAAGGTGACCTGCAGCGCTCTGATAAAGAAAGTATTATAAATGAATAAAAAAATTGCATTAGTTACGGTTTGTTGCGTAAATTAATAAATAAATTATAAACAATATGTATTTCGTGACGTTTATTAACGAGCTCCTAGCGAGTTTATAATTTTGCAGTGTCTGTCTGTCCGTCCGTCCGTTAGCACGTTGCATGTGGATTCTTCATAAAATTTGTAGTTCGGAGTTGGAGAATTAGGAATGTAGGACAAAAAATAAAGAAGGCCGTTTTGACATCTCAGTTACCCAGTCTACACAGTCACAGCATATGTATATAACTGTTACATAAAATTAATTATGTCAATGTTATCTGTTACATACCATGGAACTTACATGTGCTATTGTGGGACTACTCAATGTCAGCAACAAATCACTTGGAAAATCATGTACCTGCTACATTACTCTGGTATATCTCAGGTATAATACAAGGCGATATTTTTTACTTAAACACTTTCACATATTAATTACATCAGTATGTAACATACTTGCGACATTGTAAAGTGCTGTCTACATTACATTCTCCCAAAACATTGCCTGCATATAATAGAATGATGTATTTGATATATACACAGGGTAATAAAATTCTATTTATCTCAAAAACGCATTTATTGGTCAAACATGTATGATATTATATGAACTAGTAAATAAAAGTGAGGACAAATAGATGAAAAAGTAAGTTTCATTTTTTTTCTCGCTGATAACGTTGGCGCGCATGCCGAAACCACTCTGACGAACAATTTTCTATAAGTTTTTGTTGAATGTTGTGTTGTCCAATGATTATTTCTAGAATAAAATTCTATTATTAACAACAAGAAAAACATTTCATGAAAGAAGACATGGTTATGTGAGGAATGATGCAAATAGATGCAGACAGTGCTTAAATTTAAGCCAAAAAATTGTCTTTTATTATGAAATATCTCATACAAGAATGAAAGCGCATTTTTTGCAAATTTAAGAAAAAAAATTTTTTTTTAATTACGTAGTGTCTCGCAAAGATAGATTTGTGCAATGCAAATGCCTTTAAAAAGTTTCAAACTTATTTTCCCAAAAATATCCATATGCCTTATTGAATGGAAAAAACGCGCTCTTCATAATATTCAGAGATAAAAGATGAGACTACTCCTCCGATCATTATATTCGTTTTGGAGTAAACACATTCACAAACACACCAACACACTCATGGTCATCATTGCAAAAATACATTTTTCTGGATGTAAATAGCGTATCAATAGGTATATCATGAGCACTTTATGAAGGACAACTAATCATGATGAGAGTAGCAATGACCTTATTATTATTTCTAAGGGATTTAATGTAAATGCGCTATACAACATAAAAGGTTAAAGTTTGCTAAAATATTTACCTTTAACAGCAGCAATAATTTTTAAGTCTACCATACGCTTGTTATTTCGCTGGCCCAACCAGGAACAACCCATTCCCAATTCATTTGTAAACAGTATTTTATAAACTCGGTTTATATTATCTTTGTAATCATTTCCACCAATTGTAGTTAAAAATGTTTTCTGAAATAAACAATTATTAGCATTAAAATTATATATACAGGATTGTTTGGAAATGAATTTTGAGCATCTGGGGATCAGCCTGGTTTGTTTGGAAACTCATTATGGCATAACTTCAGTTTTGAAATTTTCAAAAAACGACTTAGCAAAAGTGCTCTTAGGAGACGAAGTACACACAAATGAAGAAAAGTTTTATTAGAATGAAAAACGTACAAAATTTCAAAGTTCTAAACCTACTTTGATTTTTAGTGTTTTTAGCGCATTTTTGCAAATTTATTTTGTAAAAAGGTAGCTTTTAATTTCACTTTGGCGGATGGCTGGCTGTAGCAAATGAAGGTCCGTAAAAAAATGCTTGTAGAAAGACGAGGAACATAAAATGTTGATTAAACAATTAATGACCGACCATGTAGCAAATTTGAAGTAGATAGAAAGATTTTGATATGTTATCTAAAATATTCTATGTAGTAAATAAAATTGAGGATTTCATAAGAATTTCAAAAGTAGACCTATTTGGCTTAAATTTTACACCATTACTAAGTTTTTCAATCAGAATAACCTTTCTATAATAACATTTGTGTGTGCCTCTCATCCAAAAAACGGTTCAATGGCAGACTTGATTTTTCAAAACTGAAATCATGTCACAAATTACTTTCCTACCAAATAGGGCTAATTCCCAGGAGCGCAAAACTCATATCGAACAGTTTTTGTGAGTAGTGTAAGAATATTTCTTTTTGAATGAGTGAAATAATACTTTTCTACTTTACGATTAGCGTACAACAGATGAATAATCAAAAACTATTTCATTGTTTGAATAATTTATCCCTAATTGAAAACGCATCATTCTATATATTATTTAACATGAGTAGAAAAATACAATCAGTACATTCACAGATATTCTATACTTAAGAACCATCAACTAGAAAGATTATGCAATTATTAACTTACAAATAATTTGTTGATTTCAAGGTCGCTTATTAATTCCTCAAACTTCTCAATCGCTTCAAAACTATTTAAGGGCAGGCATTTGGTAAATATGTCGTATTGTTCAACGGGCTGCTTGTCTACTTTGAAACTCTGCATATTTCTGGCAATATCGTTGACTTGAATTTTTATTTCTGTTACCATTTCTAATATTTTGTGCATCACACTGATTTCTATAAAACAGAATTATTTTCAAAATGTTGTGTAATATTTTTGACTTACCATAATTTCCATTACGATTAATGGATTGGGAATTAAATTGGTTTACTGGTACTTCTTGGGACTCGGCATAAGATTCCGCATACTCCTCGACATACTCATCTTCTGCATATTCTCCGTGTGGAACTACCATTGATGGCGAAGTAAATGTATGTATTATGTATGAGGATATACTTACATTGTTCATTCATTGTATCAATATTTGTATTTTTGTTTAAAATAACCATTTCCATTGAGGATATGTCAAGATCCGGTGGCAGCTCAGGAGGTGGGGTAAGTATTCCTAAAATTAACCGAGTATTAATAAAAGTGAATAATATTTAATAGATTCTTACGTTTCGTTCTAGCTTCAACATCACTATCGCTAGATCCATTATTAGAGCCATCGATGAAATTGCTTAGTAATGTGCTCCGTTGTACCAATCGTTTTCCACGTCCCCGATCTTTATCTTCACCTTCACTGTAGTGAATATCTTCAGCTTTCTTCCTTGCTACTTCTAGAGAATCTATAAAGATCAATTATACGCCACGGGAACTATAAAAAAATGTAGGTATCTTACCACAAATTGCTTCAACGGCTACCACACTGTATTTACTCCAACTATCTGGGTCTGGGGGTGAATAACGATTAATGTAGCTGGTCGCAACCTTTGAATTGCGCGGCCACCAACTACTGCGATTATTGTCGAAGAGCCATGTAATAGGGACCTCCGATACGGACTCGTCGTCGAAGCGAACTACAGCATACTGTTTGGAACTGGTGTCTTTTTTCCATTGTGCACAACTATATATAAATATAAATGAGATTACAAAAGTAAAAGCGATTAAAGTTATTTGTTGAAATTTAAATAAAAAGTATGTATAGGCAAAATATATTGATCTAATGTACACATTCACCACATAAGTATAACACTTTTAAACCCATATCTAATTAATTTCTTTTACTCTTTCTGACCGTCACTATGAATTAACGGAAAAATAGCATGCTCATTCACACTGCCGGAACTATTTAAATATAAAGGTAACTTCAAACACTTTCTCTTTACACATTTTTTGTCAATTGTGTCAATATCCTGCCTTAAATCGGATTGTTTTACAATACATATTCCTAATTTCACAGAATTACATGGTGCAGTAAAGAGCGGCTCTACTTTCTGGTATTTTTGAGCATTAATCATGCAATCTTTCATTGAAATGTTCACAACTTCCATTACATCTCCATTTTCATGTTCAAAGCAGTTATCGTGTGGTTTTTGGGAAATTGTGAAACCCTCAAATGACAGTTTGGAAGTCATTTTGTTTGCTTCAGATGTACAATTTGACTTTCCTTGTAAACTTTCTTCTTCCATTAATCGATTAAACAACTGTTGTAACGGACGACTAGAATTCTTCACTTTCTTCTTAATAATTTGCATAAAATTTTCAAATTTAAAAGCACTATATTCATCTAATGGGCCAAACAATTTACTGTCATTTGCTAGATGTAATAAACTATGTACATTGTAAACTATACGTTGCTCACCATACAAAATAAAATATTTTTTTACAAACCATTCTAGGATCGTGTGCGCATAATTATTTAAAACTATGTACAAATTTTTATCACATAAGATTCTAATTGCCACACTTAATGATAAAAAATGGTCGTAATAATCGCCCGGAAGAACTTCTCGTAATACAACTGGACCCGTATACAGTAAGAAAGTGCGTAATTCAGTAGCTTTCCACCGTTCATATTCTGTAATACTGCGAGGTTTTCTACTAAATTCACCAGTGATGCTCGGTTTCAATAGACTTAGATGATTAGTCACATTTTGAATATCATTAGGCTTCAAACGCACATCTTTTTTCCCATTTATCCAAAAGTAAATTAACTTTTTTGTGACTCCAATACAAACAGCGTGCATGTAATCAATAGGGAATTGTGTTACCATTCCTATATTCAGACATTCTAAAATATTTGCTTCCTTTGAATCTTTATGATGTTCAACATGAAGTTTATTTCTAAAGGATTCATCAGTCCTTAAAACCGAAGATATTTCCGGGAATGTCATACGATTGTCAACATAATCCCCTTCTTGGATACATTTTGAACAACCAAAGTACCCGTTATGTCCTTTTACACCACTAATATAGGACCTGGCAGGTGCATCACATATGATTGCATTTAACTGCACATTAATGATACTTCCATTGTAGTTGATCCCATTTTCTAAAATATCTCTTGCTTCTTGTACAAAATAAGAAAGGAAGTCTTTGCTTGATAAAGGCTTGTGAAAACCATGATATACACTAATTACAAATGGCTTTGTATAAAATGAGTCCACTATCGAACCGAGAATTGGCCAAAATTGACTAGACGAGCTTTTTGTTAGTGGTAGTCCATCAATGTTTAAATTTACTTTCACTGTTGTTGGTAGACAGGTGTAATGTTTTTGTAATGAAGATTGTAAGCTTTTAACAAATCCCATATGCACAAATTCACCGCCACCCAAAGCAATTATATTTTCCGTTGCATTTCGGGGTGTTTGCATAAGTGTTCGTGCGTCTTGTGGAAGTCCACTTAAAACGTTTACTGTTCTTAAAATGCTTAAAAGATTACTAATTGACATGTGAGAAACACTATGAAAACTTGCCCAAGAACGCAATTTATTCTTGAACTCTGAAAGACTAAAGGATTCATTATGGTTCTCCGTTATCAGTTCACAGTTGGTTTCACAAACACGGATACTAGTAGTGTCACTAATTTCACTGCTATCACAAGTTATTGTACTATGCACGGAGGTAAGTAAAGAATTAGTGTTTTCAAATTCTCCCGAAGTGCTGCGATTCGAACTAAGTGGTAATGACAAACAATCAGCATATGTATCAGCACTAATAGCATTTACACAATTACATTCGGGTACAATCGAACTGGTTGTAAGTTCTTTCAGAATTCTTCTGCGTTTTTGCCTACTCGAGACTTCGCAAAACAACTTTTTTGGCATTTTTACAAATGTTAAAATCAAAGATATGCCAATTTGTCTACAATACAAGGGCCTGAGTGGCGCTAATTATTCCAAAGCATTCACCAACGCGAAGAACAAAGAAATATACGTCACCCAGGATCGCATATACTATAACCAAACTATTAATTGTCAATTTTAAATTGAAATGTTTCTTGTATGGTACTCAAATTCATCACGTAAGGAGTACATTTCACAATAAACGGACTTGTTACATACTGAACTTGTTAAATTATGTGCCCTTAAAAATCTACTGCATGTTTGTTAGAGAAAACATACCGGCTACGTACTATTAAAGTAACAAATAAATATACTTTAGAGCCTTCAGTGAAATGTAACAGGTATGTAAACGTAACTAATCTGTCATACCAGCTATGTACAAGGAACGGACGTGTAGATTGGGTTAGTTATGAACCGAATTGCATGAAATTCAATATGGCATATAGTAGAGCGCTCCTTGCACAGAAAGTCGTCTAGAAATGACTTCTGTGGGGGTTTTGGTGTCACAAGCTGAAATTCACAAAAAATGAAAGGTAATCATATACTGATTCTAAATGTCAAGGCCGTCCAAAATCGGTTCATGCATTAGTGCACAAAACGCAAAAAAGTTAAGCACATGTACGGAAAGAAGAAAAAATATCGAATTTTTTCGCATATAAATCAAAATGTTCTTTGTACAGTGAAAGTAATAAGAAATTATCAAACGTCTCCAATTACAATGGGTCTTACGGAAGAATTAAACTTCAAACGTGATTATCTCAGTTCGATATCCCTAAAAATTACTAAATTGAACGAACTTACCTGTGAAGTTCGATGTTAATTATGTTAGCGATTCATCCGAATGATAATAATACGTAGTATACTACTTCCCGTGCTAGGTGAACACGAATTTTAGCGCGTTAAAAGCAAAAAACTTTCTACCGCGCTTCTCCCTCCTGCATTTTGTCCGACGTCGTCGTTCATAAATCAGATGAGACTGAATTGTTGCCAAATAACATTTTAAAAATTCTTTCGTCTAACGTGTGCGAAGTCACTTCTAAAGGACAACCAATTCAGGCCGAGGTAGCCAATTTATTGTCGAAAATCTGGGTTAACGCCAGACAATCGCAAAGAATTAACGTCAAAATATCCGTCACCTGCGAACTGTGCTTTTGAGCCTCCAATATTAAATCAAGAGGCTAAGAATTGTTTGAACAAAAACGTTATTGACCGTGATTCTCGTTTAATACAAAAACAGAATCAAATGAAGGCGGGTTTATCGGCTCTAGGTAAAGCTTTGAGTTTACTTCTTCGGGACAGCAATGCAAATTCTGCCCTAATAGAAGCCATTTCGGATACAGGGAAACTTTTAGCCGACATCCACCATGCAGATAGCGGCGTTCGGAGAGGTCTAATCAAGCCTCATCTTAAACCAAATTTAGTGAAGTTTTTGGATAATTTGTCCTATAGACAACTATCTATTTGGCGAAAACTTTATCGAACGCTTCACGATTTTGCGTGTCATCCTTGCGCAGGGGCCATGCTAATCTTCTCTGTATCGTTCCAATTTTATGCCGGCACCTCCTTGAGCCAAGGTGAAGCGCCTTCCGGCTTTGGCAAGCCACATTACGGCCTGAAGTTACTTCCGTCAGACTTACTGGTTGTTGCGCACGATGTTCGTTCCCACACTCAATAAATCTGAAGGTGGTGCTCCAGCTGAAATACTCTCGAATGCTCGAATAATCTGTGGAATCGCTCTGTTGAGCAACTTTTGCGTTTACATCGTATTATTTAATAAACGGAAGCCTAAATCAAAAAGTTTTACTCTTAAAAAAAGTTTCGCTCATCGTTTATCTTTACATTGCACTGAGAATTATAATTGTATCTGGAATAGTAACCAAAATATGTAATTAAAAGTAAAACAACGAACTTTTTACTCACTTACAAGCGACGCGGTTTCACGCCGGTGAATACAATCCATCTCTACATTTCCCGTAGCTCCATTTCGCTCTTACATCATAGGTACGTTCTCGACACGGGTATACCAGAGTTTTGCCAGTGTTATATTATTTTGTGTATTGCGTTTTTTTTACAAATGTATATTTTAAAACCAACTTTAAATTAAGGGTGGTCAATAGTGAACGAATCAGAAGTGAAATTGATTAATTGTAGGTACACTAATATTTTATAATTATTTTTTAACTGGGGTTGTAAAGTTACTGAATACAAATATTATGACCGGAGTGAAGACAGCTGCCAGAGATAGCAGCCGAAAATACGAAAACACCCGATCGATCATGGGAGTTCGTTACTTGGGGGGCATCTGCTTTAACCACATTAATTGATGTTGACTGTGCATATGATAAAATAAAGTAAAAAAATTATCAAGATGCCTAAAGAATGTGTAAGTAACGTCTGTTATAAGAGCGCAAGAAAACAATTTGGATATGTTGTATGACGTAGGGATAATAGATCAGAGTGATATTTCTCAAAAACTGTACATAGGATAAAAATGACATTTATGCCCTAAAAAGAGGCCAATTAGGCCTTTCCAACACAATTTTGAAATTTTCTTGCACTTCCGTTCTAAGGGCGCAATGGCAATATTTGCATATGCTGTATGACATACGCATGATAGAGCACAGTGATATTTTTCAAAAACTGTACATAGGATCACAGTGGCATTTATACCCTAAAATGAGGACAAATACCCTTTCCAGAACAATTTTGAAATTTTCTTGTACTTCCGTTCTAAGGGCCCAAATGCAATATTTGCATGCGCTGTATGACATACGGATGATCGGTGTTATATTTCAAAAACTGAAGTACAGTGTACATAGGATAAACATATGTAGTCGATGCCGATTTTGGATATTTTTAATGTGATCCTGATCATTGTAACAAAACTAAACTATATTTATTATCCTAATCTTTGAATGAAGTCAACTTAATATAATATGCATAGTTGGCACATACCGTTTATAAATTTAGACATAGGTTTTATATTTTTTAAAATGTCAACGTTTGTTAGTACACATTTGAAATGAGAACTTTCACAAGTGCGACATTTAATATAATCTTCTTTGGCGGTATTGTTACAGTAGATGCACCTTTCTTTTACATTACTGGATTGCGGCAGTAGTATGTTCTTCAATTGCTTCCTACATGCATTAATATCTTCATACTTCTTAAGGCTCTTTTTTTGGCAGATGTTCTTAAAGAAGTGTATAACAAACACTCCACAATTGTAGGTGTCGTTCTGAATCATGTGATCTAAATTGTACGTCCTCCACCCTGCAGCAGACATAGTTTCAGGGTAAATATTGTTGTACTTTTCCAAGAACCTCAAAAATCGTTGAAGGTGGAGGTCACTTTTTTTTTTGTTGAACTTCCCAGTGGAGTAATTCTTGTAAATGTTTTGTTTTTGGTATCGGCTATACACAACATGTAATGTTCATTTACAGATATCGAGAAAACGATGTTGTTCTGGTGTAATTTAGTAAGTTTAATTAAATAATCTAAATTAACAACTTTGTCACCAAATATTATTGAAGATTTTTCTGTCGTTATTATTTGATAATATTTTTGTACGTTAAAGAGCTGTAAGCGAATATCAATAACAAAGCTGCTAACGTATTCACCAGGATTTAGGGTCTCAAAGTCTGATAATAGCAATCCTTTAACTGCGCACGCAATGTTTTCGAAAAATGCCACAGTGTATTCTCTTCTGTTCTCCAGAAACCTATAATAATTAGTGTCATTTACTAATCCATTTGGTAACAAATTTATGTCCTGTACCGTCCTCCATCTTGTATTTTCCGGTAAAATAGTTGCAGGTAATACTAATCTAGGCCAAAGGTAGAAGTAATAAAATGATTTTAGTTTCGGTATCATTGTTTGAAAAAATTGATCATTTTTGGCAATTCTGACGCATTTGAATGTATATATAACTAGATCGCACCACCCTCTATCTAGTATTGCTAACGTACCCTGTATTTGATAATAGACATTGTGATTTGTATTAATCACTCCCATTGTCAAATAATCAAAATTAGCTTTGTCAGGATCTTAATATCGAAACTTATAGGGACATTTAATTTCAATTGCACCATTTAGTCCAATTAAACCATCTGGTGAAGAACCGAGATATGGAAAATCTTCAGAGGTACACAATCCAGCTTGTAAACACTCTACGTCCGTTAATTTGCAGTACATTTTTCTTGCCACAGACTCGTACTTTATCCCATGATTAATACTTGAGGCATTTAGATTCTTGGACTGAATTAAAGAATCTACAAGTTTCTTGTACGCACTACACTTAGCTTTGCAAACTCTTCCAAAATTAGAAGTCAATCTAATTTTACGCTCTCTTAACCATTTTTCGGAATTTCTTTGCTGTGCAGTACACCGTTCTATTTGAAGTAGCTGGTCATTACTTCGTGGAAGATCTTTTAGCAATGATCGACACTTCTCAAACAAAAAAGTTGTCGAAGCACACTCTTTTTCATTTTCAAAGCCTGTCGTGCCCAATTTATAAATAAATTCCGTTTCCCACTTACCGTTTGGTTCGCAAACTTGATGTACCCATTGCTTACATTGGTCGCACTCTGTAAAACTTGTAGTTTTTGCAAACTTGCCCCTTCCACAGTATACACATCGTGTAATATCATCTAAAATTATTATATCGTCACCTATTTTTGATGCTTCAATTGGATCCGATGTGGTACTAATTTTTGGCACGTGTAAATTTTTTATGTGTCTGGCTGTAAAATGGTTTGATATTACCTTTGACTTTTTGTTCCATTGTTCCTCTGCGTGTAAAGTGTCTGTGGCATCATCAATGAATGTTAGCAAAACTAAAATCGGTTACAACTCTAAATAGTGACTAAAATATTTTCAAGATTGCTTGCGATCAGAGCTGTTGTACTGAATACCAAAAGTACTTGCAATACGTACTTCAGTACCAAAAGTACTTTAAGTACTTTACTTTAAGTACCACAAATTTTCCGATACTTATACTTAAATTTTTAAGTACTTTGATTAATACTGGTACTTAGTACTTAAAAGTAGTACTGAATATTCCAAAGTACTTAAAATAGTTGCTTAAGTAAAAAATTACTTTAAGTATCCAAAAATACTGGTACTTAACACTAATGGATTGAGTACTTAAACTTACAAGTACCAAGGTACTTAATATGTAGGTACTTAAGTACTTATCCTATTTATATCAATGCTTCATTCGAAAAATACTGACGTTAGAGAATATAATCAGGTAGTCAAAACAAGAGCTTACATTTTGCTTAGTTGCGCTGCGCGTTTAAAAATAATTCCTTACTCATTTTTCATCTTTCGTTTCTGTGTGATCGATGGCGAAGCAGTATTATTCCAGTCGTCGTGTTGTGTAATTTGTAGAACGGTATAAGTAGTATATGGGTGAGTACCTTACCTTTATTTTTATAAGGTTTAATAAAGTCTAAGTAAAAATTAATGTCCTCTTGCTTTTACTGAGATTTTTTTACTAATAAAGAATGGGTTGTGAAATTGGTATTCATATCCATTATTTTGCTTTTCTAGTTTGATAATA